GCGCGCTGTGTGCAACCGCACTTTTACCATCATGGGCAGCCAAAGGGTGACTTTTGTCATCGCTAAGATCAAAGAAAAGCGCTTCTGCGCTACGCTCACGGTGAAGCTCCTGGTGCCATAGAGAGTCCCCCGGTCCTCACGCCTGCAGGCTCCAGCCACAGCGGTAGCACCGCGCGCCGGCCCCTGCCCCAGCCCTGCCCTCGCGGGCAGACCCGGTCCAAACACAGTGTCCGAGCTTGGGGAGCATCCTCCAGAGCACCGCAGAGCCGGGCCCGGAGCATCATCTGGGGACAGGGAAAGCACTCTCCCCCGCGTTGAAGGGGTCCCTGGAGTGGAAGCTCCGCGGGAAATTTCCTGGTAGTTGCCGTGGAGTCTTGGCGGCTCCTCCGAACACAGCAACTGGTGAGTGAGGGGGACCGAGAGGCCAGCGAGGAGTCCGAAGGCCGAAGTGTACACAGCGAAAAGTAGCAGCACGTAGGAGCTGGAGCAGTCGGCCAGGCAGCCCCAAGGCGTGCGTACAAAGGCGCCCCAGCCGCACAGAGGAAGCGCAGAGAGCAGCAGACTGGCTGCCCACACCGTCAGCGCCACGCCGAGCACCTGGCCGGATCTTCTGGAGGCTGCCTGGTTCCCCACAGCCCTGTGCATCGTGTAAAAGTTGTAGGAGACTAAGAGAGTCGCCTTCAAGTTGCTCGAGAGGCCCTGGCATAAATATAGTAAGGCAGAGGTGGTGCACAGAGACTGGAAGTAGTCAGAGACCTCATTTGGCCACTGCAAAAACATGAAGATGGTCACCGACAAGACGCTCATGAGATCATCCCCAGACCAGGAAGCCACAAGCATGGACACAACAGTTCTGTTCCGCGTTTTCATTAGGGAAACTAGTGAATAAATGCTGCCTGCCAGGGCTGCGAGCGTCATTAAGCATGTCAGGCAAAAAAGATAGATATTCACGGTTCCTGGCGGATTTAAAAGATCTGTCGAATTATGATTTTCTTTCCACAGGCTAGAGTCATTTGTTGATAAGTTACTGAGGAATACAGACATTATCCTTGGTCAATATTTAATTCCTTTTTCAATGAGTCTATAAATATTCTCAAAATTAAGCATGGCTGTTAGTTGCAAATCAGATCTCATTATCTCCTACCAAGTTTCCCTCAAGATGTTCAGCAGTCAGTCCCGGCAGAAAATGGCCAACTCTCCTTTAGATCTGACTCAACCCATATTTTAAAATTGGGTTCCAATTAAAGCAGCAATAAGAAACTTTTCAACATTTCAATTAAAAACAGACAAACCAAAAACTCCCTCCTGAAACCAGCACGTTTCAGGCATGAAAGCAAAAGCTCCTCAAGTAGATTGAAAAACAATGATGAGTGGGTCCTTTCAGGTCCTTCTTATGGAGCAAAGCAGCTTTGGCTTGCGGTAATCAAACTCTATTCAGTTTTTAAGAGCAGTAAAATGATGCATTTGGTTCCAGAGCTGGATTCAAAGGCAGAGAGCTTATCAGGTAGTTTTCAGCTTTGCCGGTTCAGAGACAGAGAGACAGAGAGAAAATGAGAGAGTGAGTCACTGAGCACAGCTCCCCATCAGAACTGCTGTGTTCTTCAATCAGCCTGTGATCCTCAGAGCTGCAGGAGGGAGGAGTCAGCTCCAAGCAGGAGAGAAGCAGGAACAAAAGGGAGGGGAGTCCAGTGTGTGAGCTAAATGATGTACATCTCCTCAGCCTGCCTTATTCGGAGCAAGAGACAATGTTTTTGCTAAGCCTTCCCCTTCGGTTTTGACATATAAAACTAACCCAAATACTTGCTCAGGCTTGATGTGAATGACAAATAACCGCTTTGAGAGGTCCAAGCTACTCTACTAAGGGGCTGCTTTTACTCTTATCTAGACCTCTCTGTTCCATAATCCACTGGAGGAAGAATATCATCAATGCCATTTTTAAGAAAATAGGAGGTACCAGCTTTGTTTGTTTTAAAAATATGTATTGTACTTACTAATAAGAATGTCATTATGGTCCTCACTACACTAAACAAGATTTTGCAGAATCTTTGGGTGGAGCCATTCTAACTTTAGCCATGTAACTATTTTATGTCAATGTCATAAAGTAAGCAAGCTTCCATTTGAATAAATAATATTTCTAGTTGTTAAAGTCAGATGGCATTATATAGGGAGTAAAAAGGAAGTTATCTCACAAAAACATTTTTAACCAGAGTATTGGGGTGTTTTGTACAACAATTGAGTCTCTGAACTCATTTTTTAAATTAATTAATTAACATCTTTATTGGGGTATAATTGCTTTACAATGGTGTGTTAGTTTCTGCTTTATAACAAAGTGAATCAGCTATACATATATATATATCCCCATATCTCCTTCCTCTTGTGTCTCCCTCCCACCTCGTTGGTTTTGCAAGATGAGTGGTTTAGCAAAGAAGTAACAGACAGCAATAGTTCTGGTCAAGCATTTCCCAGGATGCTTTGGGGGTAGTATTCCTCCTCAGCTCAGCCTCATGACCTGAGGGCTGTCTTTCCACACACAGTGCTGGAGTCTGAAGGAAAGCAGGGAAAGGGAAAGGAGAACATTCATTTGGTAATGGTCCAAGTACATGGAAGTGGCAATAGAACTCTGAACATTCCTTTCATTTTAGAGGTAACTGAAGCTACATTTTGAACCTGAATCTGTTCAAGGGAAAAGTAATTGGATTAGTCATTGCCAGCCATAACCTTCAATAAACAGTGGGCCCTTCACTTATCTTGACCTATTGTTTGATTTCCCCTTCACTCAGCCACCTGTGACAGCTAGCTCAGCACTCTGGCTCTTCCTACTGATAGTAATAGACCTTGCAGCGTAGTGTGATTAAGAAGGCTCTGGGTTACCTTTCCATATGGTATTTAACCCTGGAGTTTTAGTGGGGTTGGACAATACGTATCACATTGTTCAAATGCAATGAGTGGAAATAAATAATGGCTGTCACAATACCACTTGAGACCTGGGGACATTCTTTCTGTCATTACCAACAACTCTGGGTTTTCTATTAAATATATTTTTGAAAAGGGACAGGACACCTAACCACCATGCTGCCCTTGTCTCTACGATATGACAGAAGGGGCAAGAGTGTTAGCACATTTCCAAAGGTTGGTGGTGGAATTGCAGCCAGCAGGGAGCTAGGAGAGAAATCTGAATTTGATTCCAAACTGTGCTACTGCTGTCTGTGTAAACTTGGGCAAAAATTCTTATACTTTCTCTGGGTATCTGTTTCCACATCTGTAAAATAAGGGGACCTGACTGGATTATTTTTAGGTCCTTTCAAGTTCTAAAATTGAATGGTATAATTTTTAAATAGTTCAGGTTAACTTTATCTTAATTTTCTTTTCTGCCTACTTCACAATAATCAATATTGAACTGATGCTTGGGTTCTCCATGCTTTCTCTTTCCC